GTACCTCAAGGGAGGCAGTGAGGAGGATGGTGCTGGCCTCTTTTCAGTGGTGGCCACCGACAGAACTAGAGGTAATGGCCACAAACTGAAGCATCAAAAGTTCCACAGGAACTTAAGGAAAAATTTCTTAAGAGTAGAGTGACAGAGCACTGGAACAGGCTGCCCAGAGAGGTTGTGGAGTCTCCTTCTCTGGAGATGTTCAAAGCCCGCCTGGATGCTGCCCTGTGCCACGTGTTCTAGGTGACTCTGCGTGTGCAGGGGGGTTGGACTAGATGACCTCTAGAGGTCCCTTCCAGCCTTAATGATTCTATGATAAAGATCTCTGTAAACCATTTTGATCAGCAGTGCCACAGAACAGATAGTATACTGGATATATAACATGAGTTTATGGGATTTCAGTTCCAGCTCAAGCAGCCTTCTGTTAAAATGACAAACTGCTGTCTGTCACTGTTAAACAAAGTCCAGCAGAGTAGTTGCTTGGCTTATCCCATAACCAGACCCTCATGCAAGTGCCTGAGGATAAGGGAGGCACTGGCTTTTCATGATGACTAACATTGCCCAAACCTACAGGGAAGAGGGGTTGGTTGCCTGTGGGTAGCTGGAATTTTAGTTTGCAAATTTCAGTGTGCCTTACTGTGATAAAGCTGTATGACTGTGGGAGTCTGATCTTCCCTCTCCCTGCACCCAACATTTTGGTTGGAGGTTTCATTGTCATGTCTTTGTAAAGCAGAGTTCTGAAAATTACTCTGTAGTGAAGGCTGTTGAAAGGTCAGTTTCTAAACTGATCTTTGTTCTATGAAAAGGTATAAATTCCCAAAAATTCAGTAAAGGGGAAATAAAAAACCATCTATGGCACAGTCTGTGAACTATGCTTTTAGATGCCCAGGATGGGGTTATATCTTGGGCCGAGTCTGACATGGGAAGGCGTTTGACAGAAACATTCTGCAGATGCCGCAGAGCTGGGAGGGGTGACCGATGCTCGAACTGCTCCCCAGCGCCTTGGAGAACGGGACTGAGAGGAACCTCACTGCGCTCACCAAGGGAAGTGCCTGGTGAGGGACAATCCCTGAGCCACCCCAGGCTGCGTGGAAAGCAGCCTTGGAGGGAGCAGCCTGTGGTGGAGCAGGAGCACGAGCTGGCGCCGCTTGCTTGCAGCAGGGCAGGCTCCACGAGGAAGGGTGTCTGGGCAAGGTGAGGGGGAGGATCCTTCCCTTGCACTCAGGGCTGGTGGAAAAGCAAGGAAGAACCAGCAGCCACCACACGCGTCTGGCTGGGGGCAGTAACGGGAACCGCGCTCAGCTTCGCCCTGTGCTGCCGCGTTAGTGCCTTCAACCAGGGAGGGACTTTTTTCAGGATAATCGTAGTGACTGTTTTAAGTGGAGATATGTTTTAGCTCTTTGTTCTCAGTAAAAGATGCAACTCTTTAAAATGCGTTGGGGAAGATGCATCGTCATGCCTCATGGCTGCGTCAGGGCAGCCGAGGGGCTTTCCCTGCCCATGGCCACGGCAGTCTGTGTTTCCATGGTGGGGCTTGCAGGCTCATGGGGCACATTCCCAGGGCCTGTTGGAGCTGTTGTGTTGGATGCGTCTGCACCAACGGCTCTGCTGGCCGGGAGTGCAGCTCTGGGAGCCTCGTGGGGCAGCTCCCAAGCCTGGAGCAGGGAGTACAGGGCGGTGCGGCTGGACTCGCTGCCTGCTGTGGCGGCAGTCC